GAAAGAAAGAAAAGAAGAAGAAAAAAAATCGAAAAAGTCAACGCCGGAGACCGGCGAAAAAATCCGGAAGAAAAAAAAATTGAAAAGTCAACGCCGGAATCCGGCGGGAAAAAAAAAATTTGAAAAAAAAAGTTTTGGGTCAAAATTGAATAATTTGTGAAATTTGGGGTCAAATTGAGATTAAATAAAGTTAATGATGAAATTGGAGCGTATTAAAGTATGAGGGGTTATTTTGATCCTTTACAAAAATCTGGACCATGTGTGGACTTATTGGTAAAGGAGTTATTTGTCTGGATCTCTTTATGAATAAGTACCCATTGATAGGCTTATTTGTAAAGAACCCTAATTTTTAAACCAAAGGAGTCGTGTGATATCAGGACATATCATAATTAAATAATCGCTGACCACCATCATTAATTATTTCCAGCTACTTAGCATGCAAATATATTTATATATACACTTCATTTTTTTTTTTATTGTAAAGTAATTCAAATTAAAAAACGAAACCTTATTTAGAGATTGTATTACAAAAAAATATTAATGGCAGCCGAGACGATCAGAGTTATCGTCTTCGTTGCGATTATTGCTTCTAGTCTAATTTCCATGGCGTCTGCGAGAGATGGAACAGCCACTTTCTACACGGAGTATCTTCGTAAGTATTATAAGTATTTGTTCGTTCCATTGTCAATAACGATTAGTTTTATGTTAAGCCTAATTTGGCAGCAATTGTCCCACGTGCATGTGGTGGAAACTCATGTATAGGTGACTCCAATCGAATGCCGTGGTCACTTGAATTGTGTTGGATAAAAACGTGATGATTGAATCCTAAAATTGGTAGCGCCGACAGCGGCAGATCTGTAGTGGTGCAATTGTGTGCAGCTTCATACCCTTGATTTTTAAGATTTTTTTTTTCTTTTTGTATATATATTATCTATGTTTATAATAAATGTAGCTTGTTGTTTTTTATTTAATGATATAGAGGGTTTAAATTGCAAAAAGGAAAAGGGTAGATCAGATCACAAAATTCATTTACCACTTGTTTAATATTTTCATCAATTTTCTCTCGAAAAAAATCTAAAATTCTCTCGAAATTAATTTGCAAATAATCTTGTTAATTTTCACATAATTGTATTATTTTATATTAAAAAATATAAATTAATTTGGGGACGGTGCACCCGACCCTCCATAACTTTAATCTTTTTTTTTTTGTATTAAGTGCTATTTATAGGTTTAAATTGCATAAAGAAAAAGGGTAGATCATATCACAAATTTGATTTACCACTTGTCTAATATTTTCATCAATTTTCTCTCAATAAATTCTAAAATTCTCTAAAAATTAATTTGCAAATGATCTAGTTAATTTTCACATAATTGTTTATTTTATATAAAAAAGTATAAATTAATTTGGGTACGCTGCACCCGACCCTCTATAACTTTAATCCTTTTTTATGTCTTTTTCTTTTTTGTATTAAGTGCTATTTATTTGTTTTTACTACATACACTCAATTTCGAATACCCTTGAGTAAATCTTTGAATTAACTTCACTACGGCGCATAGTTGATTAATTATTATTACTATTATTATTAATTAATTAATTAACCAATTCATTTGAATAATTTGCAGCATCTGCATGCTACGGATACGAGGGGCAAGGTACGTTAATAGCAGCGGCCAATCCGAGGCTGTACAATAACGGAGCAGCATGTGGTCGAACGTACAAAGTTCGATGCACAGGCGGCACAAACGGGACTCCAAATCCTTGCCGTAACGGTGAAGTAACGGTGAAGATAGTGGATCTGTGCCCCGGCTGTGGAAATTATCAGCTTGATCTCTCTAAACAAGTTTTCTCCAGGATTGCTAATCCCGATGCCGGCAGGATTCGTATTGACTACACCAGGTTTTGGGTTTCGGGTTTCCAAATTTTCCAAATAATACTCAATCTTTCTTTTTTTTCTTTACAAATGAATCTCCATAATTTTGTAAATTGAAAAGAGAACTATTTGATTGCTATGATTAGGAGCGGAAGTTGGAACGGAATTTCAAATTTCCGTCGGTTTTGGTTAAAAAACTTCCAATTTTGAAACAATTTTTTTCATTCTGATATTCAAAATTTCGATTTCCGATTTTTCGTATTTTTTTTTATTGAAATTGGGGTTATATAAAAATGAGGTGGAATTTTCGATTTCCGATTCGATTTAACTTTCGAAATTAATTCCAAAATTTCTATTTTTTCCCCAAAATACACCTATAAATAAATATATTATATATTATTATTTTACTTTGTGCAGAATAAATTAAATATTTAATTATATTTTTATTTATGGTCATGTAAATCATGTTGGAGAGTCAAAGTCTTTCATTTGTGATCAAAATGATTTTTTTTTTTTCTAATGAATTGAAACTTAGTAGTAGCTATTATTTTTATCAAATTGGGTGTTGTTATTTTCGGAAATTCATAAAAAAATTGAAGTTTTGAAAATGATGTGATTTCCGAAATTTTTAAAATCTCGACATTTTAGTAACTTTTGGAATCAGAATGAACATTTAGATTTCGAAAATTTTGAAATTGGAATTCGAATTGGTTTTGTAATTTCGATCCGTCGTTCCATCCGACTTTCACCTCTAGATAAATTGATTTTCAAATTAGTATATTATTAATACAATAAAACTTATTATTTTCTTAAAAAAGTGTTTTGATACATGCTTCTCTATATATAGACTATTGTATAACAAACTTAACTATGCAATTTGCAACATTTCTGGTCATAATAAATAAAGAGATTAATTACTAGTATAATACTTTCATTAATTCTTTTATCTAATATGCTAATGATTATTAATTTCTAAACTTTGTAATTTACAGGGTCTATTGAGAACAAGAATCTACAAATTACCAAGAATAAGCTTCTGAGCATCTTTTGGAGGAAATTAATTAGTAATAACCTGAAATAAATCTTAAATTTCTGGAATTATGGGATTATTCCAGAAAACCTCACCAATAAGGGGATAGTGTGCTAAAAAATGTATTATGGGGACATTTTTGCTAATATTAATGATATTGGGAGGTTTTCTGTCAATTCAATATAACACGGGTTATTGATGAATGGTATAAATTCTCCAGCTCTTTTACATCATCTCCAAAATACTCTCCAAATTTTGGACATCACTTTGATATACACCACTTGTATCATCTTTAATTTTAGGGTAAATTACAGACGCCCCTGAAGTATGGTCATATTCCAAAAAACTTCCTCTTGTTTGGATAATTACATCTACCCCTTAACTATGAATCTTCTTACATCTCCACCCTTATGGTGTCAAATTCAACATAATCATCTAGATTCCGTGAAATGTTCTCTAGTTTGTACTCGTTTTGTGCAAAAATACAATTGCTGATGCACCATTATCTGATATATACAAGCCAAAAAATATATCTTATGATCGATCATCTTGCTTCAAAATGTGGAGCTCGAATGGGATAAAACGGGTACAAAATTGAGAATATTCTGTATAACCTAGAAGTATCCACTAAATTTGAAACCGCAAGGGATGACATGTAAGAAAATTTATAGTTGAGTGGGTGGATGTAATTACCCAAACAGGAGGGAATTTTTCATAATTGGAGCATACCTCATGGGTGATTGTAATTTACCTTTAATTACCCTTTAATAATAGATCCTACTTATATTACTTAGAAATAAAAAGCAGTCGAGAGCAACTTCGATCGTGTTGTTAAATGAGTTATAAAACCTTTAACCATCATTCTCATAATAAATGAACATGCAGCCAACCATCCGTCACAATTAATAGTTCTCAAATTCGGGGCAGAAGAGTAAAATCCAACCTCAATAGATTCAATAAAATACAAAGTAACATATATAAGAAACAAAGAAATACATGCATCACTTTTTTCTATTACATGTGTTTGTGAGTTTGATCAGTAAATGCCATCTAAACAATCCCGGGTTCTACGTTTTCTTTGAAAACTATAGAAAATTCGAAAAGTTCCAATACCAAATTATAAATCTTGGAATGAACCCTAAGAACAACTTTAAAATTGGAGTAGTTCAAACAAATTTGTTAACTTATATTTATATTATGCATGATGAATTTTTTATACGAAAGAAATATTTAAAAATTCTTGAGAATACGATATGAAGTAGTTAGTGCGTGTGAAAAGTGTGTTAGAGTGTGTGTGTGTGTGTTCGAAAGTGTCAATGTGTGCGTTTGTGAGTATGTGTGGAAAGTGTATTGGAGTGTGTTTATGTGTGTCCAAAGTGTGTATGAGTTTGTGTGTGTGTGTGTGTGTGAAGAGTGTGTATGTGTGTCTAAAATGTGTTGAAGTTTGTGTGTATGTGTGTGTTCAAAAGTTTGTATGTCTGTGAAAAGTGTGTTTGAGTGTGTGTTTATCAAAATTGCCAAGTTCAAGCGTAGGTATGGAGAGAAGAAGGAAGAGGAGCCCGAAAATAAGTGAATTCATTGAGGTCCTACTTATTTTGGTTTATTACATTCAGCACCCATTATTTATTCTAATTCTTTAAAAAAAAAAAAGTCTTTATAATATGTTGTTAGCAAACTACAGCAAACCTCGCCATTAAGGGGATAGTGTGCTAAAAAAAATGTATTATATGGACATTTTTGCTAATATTAATAATATGAGGAGTTTTTGGTCTATTCAGTATAACATGGGGCATTAATGCTATGAATTCTTAGTTATTTAGTATATTAAGCCTAGCTATTTTACAGCAACTCCAACCACATGCATCAGATAGATTATCAAAATTTAAATATATTAGTAATAATATTTAATATTTTTAAAGGGTAAATTACAAACACCCCATGAGGTATGGTCAAATTACAAAAACCCCCCTCTTGTTTGGATAATTACATCTACCCCCTCAACTATGATTTTTTTCTTACACCTCCACCCTTATTGTGCCAAATTCAATATAATCATCTAGACTCCGTGGAATGTGCTCTAGTTTGTATTCGTTATGTGTAAAAATACAGTTTCCGATGCACTACAAACTGATATACACAAGCTAAAAATCACATATTATGATCATCTTACTTCATAATGTAGAGTTTGAATGGTATAAAACGGGTACAAAAGTGATAATATTTCATATAATCTCGAAGATTCCACTAAATTTGAAGAGCTGAGGGGGTGGTTGTAATTATCCAAACAAGAGGGGTGTTTTTGTAATTTGACCATACCTCAGGGGGGTATTTGTAATTTACCCTATTTTTAAATGGCACATGTCAATTAATGATAAATTTACTGAGTGGTTATATTTTTTATACATCAAATTCAAGGGAGTATTTTTACACCTCGAAATGATTGAGTATCGAAATAAATGACATCTTGATGCCTCCACTGGAGGAGGATTATGGTTTTTTTTTTAAATTTTCAGGAATCGGAATGGAAGATTTATTATAGTTTGTACTCGATTTTGATTCATCCATTAGAGTTTGGATAATCAAATGGAGTATAGATCAAATCATAAAACTACTATTTTGATACACAACTCCAAAAATCTCAATCCAACGGAAGCATCAATATGGTAGTTAATTTAATACAAAAATATGGTGAATTTAAAATGCACCCATAAAGTGAAGTATCAAAATATTAACCACCCAATCAACCTTTTATGAATTGACATGTTGCATTTAAACATATAATTATTTATACACAGTCAAACTTCTATAAATTAATACAGTGAGAACTAACAAAATTCTATTAATTCAATATATTATTAAATTATTGAACTAATAATTTAGTATTTTTTTACTGAATCGTGACCGAAAAAAATTATTAATTAAGCGAGATTATTAATTTATCGAGGTTATCCTGTATTTCAAATTTAATAATATATTTGATGCTTATGGTTGCATTAATTTGATAATTTAATAATGTACTAAAATAAGTCACTCCATTAATTACTTCGATAATTCCACATATTATTCATACACGATGGCACCACTACATATCTTGAAGCACAATTATAATACACACACACACATACATATCTTCAAGGCGATGCTGCTTATTTTATTTGGAATCATCATCCAATCATATATTCCATCATCATAAAATTTTCAATTAAACCCTGCGCACACAGAAAAAAAAAAAAAAAAAGAAAGAATTATATATTAAATTTAAGAACAATAAAAAAATATATCATATGATATACAGTTGAACCTCTATAAATTAATACAGTCGGGACCATCAAAATTCTATTAATTTAGCGAAATATTAACTTCTCGATAAATTAATAATTATTAATTTATACATTAATTAATAATTTATTAATTTATGAAATGATTTTTATTATTATTTTCAATAAACAATTTTTTTTTACGTGTATATTATTCATTGTACCATTAGTTCAATGCACTATAGAGTCCGTTTCATGAACGAAAGCTCTTAAAGCAGCAATGGTATTGAACAATTTCATGTTGAGTTATGCGAAAGCTATAGCAGAAGTTGTAACCATGTTAAGAAAATTGAGGCACGAGATTAATGGTAATGTGAACTTCAACATGAAACACACGGCAATTAAATTGCATTTTATTAAACCTTTATAGATCTATAAAAGTATGTATAGTACCATGTAATTTAAGAATTATTTTAATGAATTATTAATTTATATATTATATGGGGCTTCTTAAAATTTTTGAATGTGTATTATCTTATAAATTTAGCGAATTATTAATTTAGCACGCTGTCTCCGAGTTGAGACCGAAAAAATTTATTATTTAAGCGAGTTTATTAATTTATCGGGTATTAATTTATCGAGGTTCTACTGTATTTGGACTTACTGGTTAAACTGAATGTTGACTTTTCCAGCATCGGGATTTGCAATAACGGCGAATGCTTCTTGAGAGAGGTCAATCGTCCCTCGACAACCCGCCGGGCAATAGTCAACTATTCTGACCACCACGCTCCGCCCCGTGCAAGGGTGCGGCACTTGGTTCGTGCCGCCCGTGCATTTAACTCTGTAAGTCCGGCCACACGCCCTTCTATTGTCCCAAATTGCGTCGCTTGCTGCAGCTATCATCACGCCATCGTTTTTGAATCCGTTGCACGACGAGGCTTTCATGCGTCAAAATAACACTATGTTAAATAATTTTTCAAGTGACGACGGACATCGATTATATGTAATATGATCGATAAAATATCAAAATATCGTCACCGGTTTATGACAATAGAGAGTTGCATGTCTACTATTATATCATGAGTTTAATGGCTTATTCGTATCTACACGTTGTGAATTAGTTTTACCCTGTAATCTCACTATATAATACACGTGTATATTCATCCAGTACATATTTTACATACAGCCACATGTTTATGTGCATGACTATGTGTTCCAACTTATCGTCATCAGATGTAGAATCTCATAATTAAACCTCGAATCTATGACAACAAAAACTATGAGATTTATTAAGAGATATCGATCACTAGCGATATTATGACCTTATCTATGTAAACTCCAAAATAATTTATAAAAATTATTCAAGGAGCTTATAAGTTTGAACTTGTCACTTTTTAAGTTTCTAATAAAAATGTAAATATATATAAATTAGGGTTTTTGTGTCCTTTTTTCATTTTATACATATAGGTAAAAGAAAACACTCACGAACGTAAGGAGGTGTGTAGAAAGTAGCGGTTCCCTCGTCGGCATATCCAACTGAAGCATAGCTCACGGCCACCACCACCACCGCCACGGCCACCACCATAACTCGAACGCTTTTGCACATTTTATTTTCACCAATATATGTTAGCGAACAATTTCTATATTTAGTAAGTATGAATGATTTCAGTGTGGCGAAACAAAAAATTGGTACCCCATTTTATAGATAAAATCAAGAGCTGATTAAAAGCCTTCTAGCTAAGATGGCATAAAATAATTAAATATTTCATTTTGCGAATTGAAAAAATTATAATGCAATTTTGTCTGCATCATAAGGACAATGGCAAATTTGTTGTATATATTACTTGAAATATTCCAAATAATATCAAATTTTAAATTATTAAACATGAATTTCAAATCTTGTTTGTGTCAAATATAATGACGAGCCCAGTTCGAATTCATTTGCCAATGTTTAATAGACCTAGCTTGTCATATGGCTTATGTTCTGCGTGGTTTACATCTCTCGTGAAGTTTGCAAGCAATTGTACACAGAATTCATAAATACAGTTGGTTGCGAGTTCCTTCAAATTTAACATTTAAATCAAAACAGAAACATAATAAAACCATTCTTTGCACTTTGATTGTAATCGAAAGCGGCTACATTTTAGATGAGGAGCAAATCAAAATCGAAAGTAGTTGATTTACGAACGGTTTCGCTTTCTTTGCCTCAAAATATTACAAAAGGACACAACAAAAAATTGGAAATTTGTGTCCAACTAATCTTATGAAAGATCGTATGTTCCAAATAAAACACTACAGAAATGTATTTTCATTGACAAGCCTCGATTTTAACGTGTTACAAAATCCAGTCAGCCTTGATTGGTCCATATTAATTATATGAATTCATTTATTTAAAGTCTCAATACCAAGAGACAATAAGCTGTAATCAAATTAAACAATTTAAATATATAGAAAGTTCATTCTTCACGTTAGAGGTATATTCCATTTGAGTAAATAAAGAGCTTTCGAATACACACTCTTGAAATCCCAGTCACTAACTTGATCGTCGGACTGCAAATGTTGCGAGTCATGATTAGTATTTGTGCGGTTTTTCATTAGGTTAACACGAGGAATTATACTCGACACGTGGAATTCTGCAAAGCTTGGATTATTACGCGACATTTGAATTTGCCAGTTTTCTGATATCGTGTATACGTGGTGGCGGATGACCCCTGGCATTCTTTCCTTATTTGTAACCGAGGAATCGTGACCTCTAATTTTTTTTTTTTTTTTTTTTTTTTGAGTAAATTCAAGTCCATTACAAGGGGAAATAGGGGAGGGGGGGACTCGAACCCTAGACCTTTACCCTATTGGTAAAGGCTAGGTACCAACTCTCCTAATGAGGGTTGGTATCGTGACCTCTAATTGAACATACAAGACTATTTTTTTTTAATTTCATGCATATAGTCCATGTAGTATAAATATTCATTAAATTGCATAAATACGAGTTTATTTTTATTTCCTAATCATTTGCAAAAGAAATATATTTTAAACAATTCAATTCAATGAACAAACGTAAATTATTTTTTTTGATTTTTTTTTTGAATTTGTTAAACGACTTTTAACATAAGCTTGAAAACATTTACAATGGATGAATGTAAGTTCAAATTTTCCTAAAGTATTTGTGAATTAGTGTTAATGGTATAAAATAAATGTTAATAAATATGCCAACTTATAAATTTAATAAATATTTAAATATCTTATTTTATCGGGTTTTATTCAAGTTGAGCTACAGTAAGCTAAAATTCAGCTGATCATAAACTTTTTGGATTTGATAAAATGACCCAGACTGGACTCTACTCATAGTTAGAGGGTGTTTGGCTAAGTTTATTTTAAATAGTTGATAAGCTCTTGCGTCTGATAAGATATTTCATGAGCTGATGAGCTGTTACATCTTATTTTTATGATTAATTTTTAGAGTGTTTGAATAATGAACTTATTTCCTATTTTTAGAGTGTTTTGATCATTTCGAGAATTTATAATTTTGCGGTACTTAAAAATAGGTGCTTAGTACCATTAAAATCATTGTAGTTATTTTTAAAATATTAAAATTTAGCAAATGAGTAGTTTTAGTTTTATGATTTTCGAAATCTCTGCAATTCCGAAATTTCCTAGCTTTTGAAATTGAAATGAATTTCCAAAATTACGAAAATTTTGAAATTGGTATAAGTTTGTATTTCCGAGAAAATTAAAAAAAAATCAAAAAGGTTAATTTCGATCCGTTCCTACTTTCAGTCGTATCTATATGTATATGTATATGTATATTTATGTATATAAGTGAGGACAAAAAAGATGATGTAGAATTAGGTGATAGTATAAGTGCAACAAGTAACAACAGACAGCGGCACATAACCGTCCAAGCGGTGACAGTAAATTACGTAAAAGCCCATTTGTACGCCGCACCATCTCTCCATTTAATGCAACAGCCTGTGACTCACTCTGTGTCTGAGTGACCACACGCACCAATCTATACAATTATTATTTAATATTTTTTTAGGGTAAATTACAATCACCCCTGAGGTATGGTCAAATTACAAAAATACCCCTCTTGTTTGGATTATGGTCAAATTACAAAAATACCCCTCTTGTTTGGATAATTACAACCACCCCCTCAACTCCTCAAATTTAGTGGAATCTTCGAGATTATATGGACTATTATCACTTTTGTACTCGTTTTATCCCATTCAAATTATACATTATGAAGCAAGATGATCATAATATGTGATTTTTAGCTTGTATATATCAGTTTGTGGTGCATCAAAAACTGTATTTTTACACAAAATGAGTACAAACTAGAGCACATTTTACGGAAATCTAGATGATTATGTTGAATTTGGAATCATAAGGGTGGAGGTGTAAGAAAAAATCATAGTTGACGGGGGTAGATGTAATTATCTAAACAAGAGGGGGATTTTTGTAATTTGACCATACCTCAGGGGGTGTTTGTAATTTACCCTTTTTTTTAAATTATTTCTTTTTTGGACATTTTCATTTGGAATTTTCAAAAAATATTGGGCTACCATCGTTGTTTTCAGACTAAAGTAATAATTGAATGAAAATGAAATATAGATTTGTGGTGGAAATGATTTGAAATTATTTAATGATGGTGGTTTGAAAATATACAACCTTTCTATTTAGTAATATCAATTATTATACTAGGGATACATTTGGAAAAGAATAACAATCATATCTCTAACTTAGTATGTCAAACAATACAATATGATCATAATTATTAATATCACAAATTCTAAAACATGCTATCAAATTCAACTACTAATAAAAATCAATAAAAATATCAACCACTTATATATACAAATACATATAAAATATGGAGGGTGTCTAGCTAATCTTATAAGATGTTAAAAGGAGTTTATAAAATGTTTAAGAGCTTATAAGTTCTTGTGAAGTGTTTGGTAAAATTTTAAAAAAATCTTACAAATTCAAAAAATAAACTGTTGAAGAACAAATAAGATAGTTTTTAAAAAGTATATATACCGCACATTTTTATTTAAGATCTTATAATGAATGAAAATAGTTTAAAAAATCATTATCCAAATACTTTGAAAAAATAATACTAAAAATAAAAGTTAACAGTTTAGTTTATCAGCTGTTAAAAAGTTTCTCAAATGTGAGAGTTTATCAGTTGTTTAAAATAATTTTAGCCAAACAGAACTATAATCACATCTCAGCATGTACCATGCCCAATGATATCTTAAGAAGATATGAAAACGCATTCGTGGAGGATCAAGACTTTGAATATTTCCTAATTAGCTAAAACTACGTATATGTAGGATCGGCAATTGAGCCGGGCCTGCCCGAAACCCGATGGCTCGGCCCGATTTTATTTGAGCCGAGCTCGATAAATTGTGAGCCGGGCCGAGTTTGAGCCTTTTTATTAAACTCGATTAAACTATGAGCCGAGTTTGAGCTTACCATGGCTCAACCCGAATAAAGCCCGACTGAGTATATATATAAGTATATATATATATATATATATATATATATATATATATATATATATATATATATATATATATATATATATATATATATATATATATATATATATATATATATATATATATATATATATATATATATATATATATATATATATATATATATATATATATATATATAGACACACACACACACACACAAATGGATGTAAACAAGTTAACAACTAGTACTAATTAATTTATAAATTTAATCAAATCCAAGTGAAAAGTTTCTTAATGTAAAAATACTAACCTTTTCTTCATTCATATAAATATAAAACGTAGAATATGCAAAACCATAATGTTAACAATATGTTGCAAAATTTAAGTTGAGGGTTTCTCTTGTCATCAATGGAGATAATCTTAATTTATCACTGTTTTTTTCTTTCAATGATTATTCTAGATATAAGTTTTATCTTAATTTATCATTGTTTTCGACTTGCAATGAGTATTCTTAATTTATCATAGTATAAGTTTTTTTTTTTCTTAACATGTCCGGCTACAAAAGTTGTAAAATATGTAATTTATAAATTGTCAGATATAAGCCCGATATAAACACCAAGCCCGAAAAAATATGTGAGCCGAGTTTGAGCATATAGGCACGAGGCCCGATGGTATTTGAGCTTGAGCCTATAATAACGAGGCTCGATGGTATATGAGCTTGAGCCGACCCAAGCTTGGCTCACATGGCCCGATTGTCAGCCCTACGTATATCTATCCTAATTAATTTCATTCAAGGTTTTGATTGAAGTCCTATGCGCGTTATTTGGACATAAAATACCTCCACATTTATCACAGTTATCCGACTTTAAATAAACTAGGGGTCCATTTGGATGGAGGGATTTGGGGAGGGATTTAATTTGGGGAATGTATTTCAAATGACTCCAAATTTGGAGTCATTTGAAATCCACCACTATTACTCAAAAAACAACTAAAAATGAGGGGTGGAGATTTGAAATCCATCTTCAAATCCATCAATCCAAACAAGTCCAAGGGATTTGTTATTATGAATTTGAAATCCCTCCCCCAAATCCCTCCATCCAAATGCACCCTAGAAGAAAAATATTTGCAATATGAGACGGAATTTTTTTTTTTTTATTCTAATTCCAGGAAATTCCAAAATCCCAGTACAAACTAAATTGCAACTCTATAAAATACCAAAAACCTAAACTGCAAACTTGATCAACTGGTTTTAGTAGTTAGTTGCTTTCAGTCAATTAAGCAAATTAATTTCCCTCTTGAAGGATTATTTCACCTACCAAGTTTTGACACTAACACAAACTTAACCAAAAGTCCAACGGTGGGAATTTAATAAGAAACCGGATTTAATTTTTTATTAAAAAAAAAAGTAAATTACGGCAACCCCTGAAGTAAGGTGAAATTATGAAAAAACCCCTGATTTTTGGATAATGACAATCACTCCTCAACTCTGAATCTTTTTACATGTCCACCCCTACGGTGTAAAATTTAGTAGAATTTTCTAGATTATGTATATTATTCTCCACTTTGTACCTGTTTTACCCCATTCGAGCTACGCATTTTGAAACAAGATGATCATAAGATATGTCGTTCGCCTTGCAAAAATTAGATTGTGGTGCATCAGAAACTGCATTTTTTATATAAAACGAGTACAAACTAGAGAACATTCCACATAATCTAGAATTTTTTGTTGAATTGGACACTATAAAAGTATACGTGTAAAAAGATTTATAGTTGTAAGGTGGTTTTAATTATTCACACATTATAGGTTTTTTCGTAATTTGAACTTACAGAATAAAATAAGGGTTTTAATGAGTGAGCCTTCAAGGTTCAACCGAAGAATTGTTGGGATTCCCACAAGATTCTTTATTTTATTTTATTTTATTTTATTTTATTTTTCATTCTTTTGAAGTAAAGATTCGAATTATTTAAAAAAAAAAAAACAATTCTGAAAAAAGATCCAAATAAATGCTCAAAAACTAACTAAGGACAGATTGACAAATGCAACTTTAAATGTCACATGTATCAATCATGGCCAGTTTGGAAGCTGATTCAATTATATTGCCAGATATTAATTTAAATATTTCGAAATAATTATTGAAAAATAATATTCACTAATAACAAAATTACAATAGTTCAGTTCAGTCTGTCCCTAATCCAAATAATCATAATTAAATAAGAAAACGAAGAACAATTCAATAGATGTATTTTCATAGTCAAATTGCCTTATATTGTGTTATATTCTAAGTAGGAAAAATGTATAATCAGATTACATGCAGCAAAAAATAAAATTAAATAAAAAAAAAGGATATTAATAATCTAAACATTGCTGGAAAAAGATGAATGAACAATCTTGTTTTGCCTTCCCATAAGCCAGAAAAGAGTCCCTTTACCAAAAGACGATGAATTCGCCTGCGAAAAATCCAAACTATTACAGCTCTCAATTTCCTCGTCGTCACTCGCTCCGTTTTCCGACCGCCCATTCTTGCCGCCACCAACCGGAACATTCCGGTGCAACGGAAAACGGAACGAAAATGCCCTTCTCGACGAATCCGCCACACCACCACCACCACCAACAACACCCTTATCCTTCTTCCCCCTCAACCAAATCTTCGAAACCGAAAAACTCTCCCTCCCACTACCCCCACTAATTGACTTATTATCGATATTGCCATCGCTTTGGATATCAAGAATCTTGAAAGCTTCGAACCCGTTGAACTCCCTCCTCGAATCGCACCCGCACTCCGAAACGGCCGCCCTATGACATTGTTTCTTGCTCGAAGATTGTTTCTTGATCGGCGTCCTAATCGGCACTTGTAACGACGAACCCTCGTCCATCACATACGCAAACGAACCCATCGAAAAGCATCTCCTCGCATCGGCATTACCCTCACTACTCCCCCCCTCACCCCCACCACCACCCCCACCATCCACATTCTTGAATTTCCCAAGCTTCACATAGACAACCTTTTCGATTACTTTCTCTCTCTCATCTCCCTCATCCTCATTTTCGACAACAATTTCACCCGATTTACGAGGCGGGTCCGCCTTAAAACCCTCGTCGGAGAAACAACTCAAATGGGAATTCACCCTATGAATATTATTATCCGAAACGATCTCTCTAGAACTCTCGCTACTACCAGATTCAAGAACAAGAACTATGGGGGAACAATGCCCATTCGGAGAGAATTCAGACAGCAAACTCGCCCTGCAGAGGGGGCAAGTGGAGTGAGACAGCAGCCACGTGTCAATACAATCCATGTGAAAAGCGTGGCTGCATTTGGGCAGGAGTCTGAGGTTATCCTCGCCTTCGAATTCACACAGACACACAGCGCAGTCGAACGGATCCTTCTTCGCGCCGCCGCCGACAATCGCCTTGTAGTTGAACACGGGGAGGCCGTCGATGAAGGACTGGTCAACGCCGGCGTCGTGGAGGTGGAAGAGCTGCTGAAGCTGGCCCTGCAGGGCGGTGACGTCATCCGTTACGTCGTGGCTCCGGACGATCAGAGGACGGAGCAGAAATCTGACGAGGAGGTGGAGCAAGCCGGAGACGAAGAAGATGACTGCTAGGATTATGATGATAAGGA